ATCATAGAACCATGGTATACCCATAGCATGTTAGATCTGGAAGAAACCTTAAAGATCATTTCATCCGACTCCCTCGCTGTCTAGATCAAGAAACAGAGGACTAAGGTATTTAAATGGACAAAATGTGAAAAACCAGATGTTGCAGGAGCATAAATAATCTACGAAATGAGTAATCAACCTCCATATTACCTAGAATTGACTATATAAACACATAACCACATTTTCTATGCAGACTTGGGTTTGTTTATTACTTTGATTTTGCTGATCAGAGAACAGGTCAAGATTTTTAATTGCTCTTTTTTGGTAAAATAGAAATCTACAAAAATGGATAATTTACTATTTTGGGATCATTGCTCAGGAATGCATTTATCTTAGAAATGGTTACTATGGAAATGAGCACGTACCATATGAATCTACAGCTTGTGAGTCATGTAGTATGTTAATAAGAACTAACCATATATGTGTCTATACATACATATTTGCACACATACACATATACATATAGGCTATGTTATTCCTTATTTTTTGTAAAATAATAATAATAATAATAATGATATTTCCATGTAGTACTGACCCCTGGTGGTGTACACTATCATAAAATTACTAGAAAATTCAGGTTTTCATAATGCATTAACTTAAATTATTTTTAAATGTCAAAAATTTTTTTCTGAATCAAGTTGAAAGTCTATTGACACAAATCACCAAATGAAAAGTACTAATAAATATTACTTTTTTCTCCTAAAGTCCTTTGATTTTATTGGTTGATGAAGGAACTCCTTCTACCGAAGCAGATAAAATAGTCAACTATTCTTCAATTTATAATCTTAGAGATTTGCCTGGGGGCACCGAGCAGTCTAGAGACTTGCCCCGGGTCACACAGCAAGTATGAGTCAGAAGCAGGTCTTAGTCCCAAGTCATCCTAAGTACAAGGCTATTGCTCTATCCATTATACCACACTATATCTCAGGAAGTAGTATACATTTTATATGGAAGAAATGTAAAAACAAGAAAACAGAAAAAAAAATCCAAGAATAAAAACAACGACAAATTCTTAAGTAATTTATTCATATTGCTGTCAATGTTGGACAAATTTACTTGCTTGCTAAAAAAAAAATTGCATGAAAAAGATCACTTTAAAGCTCAGAAGTTTCCAAAACATTGTCCCTTTCAGGAAACCACACAGACCAGCAAGTTTGCTGGAAGTTCCTACTTTCCTTCTGATAAACACCAAATTTAAGAATTTTCAACACTATACAGCCAGAAAGGCTTTTTTCCCTCTTCATCTTGATAGTTTGTTAGTAACAACATTTCTTTGAAGCTAAAAGAATTACACATCTGGTTCAATGTGATGTTTCAAATTCAGTACAATGGTGAAAATGACTATGATTACTAGCTCCCGAATGCAATCAATGCAATAGGTTGCAAATAACTTAGCAGCGTTTAGTAATATATAAGCTACTTATCAACATCTACTTTTATTTGTGCTCTATGGTAAAACAAGACAAAACAAAACAGTTTTTATGTAGTGCTTCTGCATTTAAACATATAAACAATTATGTACCTGAATTTGTGTATATGTATGGGTATGTGTTTAAAGCATAAATATACAAAGTCAGAAGACTTTAAATTTTATTTTATTTATTTTTAAATAACATTTTATTTTTCGCAATTGCATATAAAAACACATTTAAATATTCATTCAAATTTTTTTTGAGTTCCAAATTCTCTCCTTCCCTCCCCCCTCCATGAGACAGTAAGCAATTTGACATGTTTTACATGTGCAATCATGCAAAGCATATTTCCATATTAGTTATGTGAAAGAAAACACTGACCAAAGGAAAAAAAAAAACATGAGAAAGATAAGTGAAAAATAGTATGCTTTGATCTACATTCAGTTCGTTCTCTGGAGGTGGCTGATAATTTTCATTGTGAGTCCTTTGAACTGTTTTGGATCCTTGTATTACTGAGAAGAATAAATATAATTTTTAGGGAGCAATTTACGTGTTTCTGATAACATTATTTTAATGATATTACATGGCTATAGATAAGAAACATTACAGTCTTCAAAGAATCAAAATTGCTTGAAAAAGCAATGGAGAGATGACAGTAGGAGGAAATAAGCTGTAGCATATTTCTAATGGCAACTTTAGTGCTAAAAGTGACATAAAAGGTATCAATGATTTGGGAGATGCTAGCTGGGAAACAGAGGTGGGCCATTCACACTGAGAGCAAAAGATAACAGATGTACAGCCTGAGTGCTTCACTGGTATCCATTTAATGTTAAAAGATCTGGAAGAATGCTTATAGAATGGGTAGACTCACTATGGAAGATTTTATAGTAGGATGTGTGTAAGAGCATCACGGGATGAGAAACATGGATATGCCATTAGCAATAGTACCCACAACCCTCCATCTATCCACTAAAGTATTGAAATGAGGCAATATAAATATAAATCAACTAAACAAACCAATGTGCTTCCTGTTGATTTTTACCAGTACAGCTATTTTTAACATTCTAGGTCAATAAACAGGCATTAAGATACAGCTGGAAAAACAAAGCTTTCTACATAAGTCTGCTGTTAGTAAAGGAAATCATTATATCTTTTCAAAGAATATATTATTTCCAAACTGATGTATCATGGTATGTTAGAGCTAAACTTCAATTGAATTCAATGAGTCTTCCAAACACAAACACTATGCTTGGTACTTGGTATACAAAAACAAAATAGTTCTTCCTTCAAGGAGCTTACTCCCTACCACAAATAGTTTTATCCGTCATTTAGTCCAATCTCCTTATTTTACAAGTGAAGAAACTGAGACCTAGAGAGAGTAAGTAATGTATCCTAGGTCACTGATCACTAGTCATCACCATAGCCAGAATTGGGTCCCAGGTTTCCTTATATCCACAACTTTGTACATAGAACTATTCACAGAATATCATATTGCCTTTTAGTGACATATTCTCTCCACCACATTAAATTGTACTGAGACTTATTACAAATTGATCAGTTCCATTCAGTTGCTTCCCTCTATTACACACTTCTGCAGTGTAATAAACCTTCATAAATTTCATGCCTTTTTTTTCATTCTCAGCATAATAGGATTCTGATAATCTATGACAGGCCATTCAGGGGCCATATAAGCAGTGTCCTATCATATTTCAATCCTTTCAAAGACCTGTGATTTCATAAGTGTGAGTACTGTACTCCTTCCACCAAAGCAGATCTTGTAACCCTTCTACGTCTTAGCAGTCAATCTGGTGTTGAACTTTTTTTGGAATTAGCTAGGTCGATCCTTATATGACAGACATCATTAGATTCTGAAATAAAAGCCTTTCCGATTTGACAGAACCTACCAGAGTTTTTGTTCCACTGTCATAGCCTTTTAAAATCCAGAGTTACCTCCATGCTCCAATGACGTATTAGAGTAGACTTCAGTGGAGGTATCTCCATCATATGCCATCATATTCTTCCCAAGATAATTATTCATAAATTCAGAAAAAAGGGTATATCCTGTTTTGGCATATTCTGAAACATGTACTGTTCCAGAGTTTATAATTTATCAATTTGAGATTTCTAGAGATATTTTGGTTTTTGGTCCTTTTTCTTTTGGGGTCTTTTTTTTTTCTGGATACACTGCTCTTTTCTTTCCAAACCCATTGTTTTGATGAATTCAACCATTCTTGTATGTGTGTGTGTGTGTGTGTGTGTGTGTGTGTGTGTATGTATGTGCATGTATGCATCTATATGATTTCCAAGTGTACAGGGGACCTCTCACCTCATCTATGCTTCAGTATGGTATTTTCAACTGATTATAGAACACTTCCATTTGGATGTCCTCTATTAAAAATGATCATGTACAGAACTGAACGAATCTCTTAGCTCTAAACCACATATCCAGATACATTTCTGTCAGTGGTACCACCATTCACTCAGTTTCTGGGGCTAGAAACCTATAAGCTATATTTGATTCTTTTTCCTCTTTCTGTATATCCTTTCTTTCACTAGGCTCTGTCATTTCTTACTTTGAAGTGTCCTTTATCTATCCCTTCTTCTCTTTTCCCATTACTTAAATCCTAGGGCAGACATGCATTATCTCATCTGATAATTATGGCAACAGCCTCCTAACTGGCTTCTCTAGTATTTTCTCTAATATAGTATTTTCAGCTTATTAGAAGGCATTTCCACTTGAACATTAGGTGGAAAGAATGGAATGGAATGGAGAATGGAATAAAGGAGGAGAAAATGAGGGATAACTTTGCTGGGAAATGAAAAGGGAGCTTTTGTCAGTTTTCAGAAAAATAATAACAATATCTAACACTTATATACTTTAAGATTTGTCAAATAGTTTGTGTGTTTTATATCTTAGCAACAATGAAACATGGGCCAAGTTTGTGTTATTTAATAATGACTAATCTTTATATAAGCTTTTTAAATTTGCAAAATGCTTGTCTCACTTGAACCTCACAAAAATCTTGTGAGGTAGGTGCCACAGATGTTATCATCTCCTTTTTATAAGTGAGGCTCAGAGAGATTGTAACTTGACTAAGATAACACAGCTAGTGAAGGAGGTGGGATTTGAACCGGTCCTCCTGAGTTCAAGCCCAGCATTCCCTCCATTTCTACGCTACTGCCTGGAATCAGGTATATACAGGAACCCTCCTTGTATCTTTCACAGCCACTGATAAACAATTTAGCATAAATAGAAAATCACCTGAGCTTTAAAAGAAAAAAATATATATGTGGGCGGGTGTGTTAAAATATTTTTTTCAGACTAGGTCTAAGATTTTACATCATTCTTGCTAATATTAGTAAGCTTGGATAAAGCTTGGATAAATAGCCTTTTGAGGCTGCAAGGAGAGATGAGACATGGAGATTCTGAGCTCTCTTACAGGAAGCAGCAACAGGATCCAATCAGTCACTGCTTTTGAATGACCAATCGAAAGCTGTGTTGCATCCTGGCATTAGAAAAATGAGGCTTGGTGGTTCTGTTAGGCGGCCCAGTAGCTGCTGCTAGAATCCAAGGGGGAGGGAGAAACTAGTGTTGTGCTTGTTACCTGTGTGATACAGGAAGAAGAGATCAGCCTCACCTTGTACATCTTAGATTTGCTTTTATTTGTTACCAGTGAATGTTCATGTAATGCACTCCCTTAACCAGGAAATTAGAGCATTCTCCCGGACTAATCTCAGGAAGCAATGCACCAGGGTGACAACATTAACTGGGAAAAAAATTATAGAAACGTGGAAAGACGCCAGAATTCACGTTGTGGAAGAAGTTGAGCCTGGCAGTGGGGGTGGCTGTGGTTATGTGCAGGACCTAAGCCTGGACCTGCAGGTTGGTGTAATTAAGCCATGGTTGCTGCTTGGTGAGTATATGTGTTGCCTCCTGAGTCAGGGTCATCATTTTGCTTATTTATTTAAAAAAAATTCTTAATTCAGTTGGAATCAGTTACACAGTTGGAAAGTTGAAATGTTTGCATTTGGGCTTTGGAATTCACTGTAGATGAACAGACATTTCTGGCAAAAGTCAGTCTTCACACCCTGTGTACACTGCATTGGTCAGAAGCACATGCCCTAATATATACAGTATTGAATAGCTGTAATATAAATAAGTTGTCATCTTGTTTTCCTAATTTCTCAGGATGGATATAAATTGATAATGAATAGGGAAAATTTGCCAGCTGATTTATTTGTAAGCAGAGGACTAGATGAACCAACCCCCTGCTCAAGTTAATTGGAGGGACTCCTCAAGTTGAGCAAGGACCACTGTAAGTTTTTGGTTTTTTTTGAAAGTTCATCAAACTAAATAGAAATGCAGGTTTAGGAGAAGTTGTTATGGGATAACAGCAATGAGAGGAACAGTGGAAAAAGCAATGGATTTGGAGTCAGAAGACTTGGGTTTAAATGCTGGCTCTGCTACTGACTATCTGTGTAACCTTGGGCAAATCACTTAACCTTTCTGGGTCTCAGTTTACTCTACTGTAAAATAAGAAGGCTGGACTCAGTTACTTCCAAGGTCACTACCCATTCTAAATCTATTATTCTGTAAGGTCATGGTATAGTATTTCACTTCTTACATAGGAATAACAGGGTTATGTTGCTTTCACCCTATTTGAACCATAAATAATCAAAAGAATTGGCTGACCTAATGCCTGATTAGTGCCTGATCTCTTAGGTGTTAGTGATTGAGAGAAAGATAGGTTCTTTATGTATAACATTACATTCAATGATAATGTTTATGTAAATAGAAGGGGGGAAAAGTTTTAAGAGAAATTCACCATGATACACTTATGTAACTTGCCTTTCTGTTCATCTGAAGCTAAGGGCATACAATTGTGACTACATATAATCGTTGGCTATTTCTGTAGGGTTCAAGAAATGAACTCTGTCATGTAGTATCCCACCTGTTCTCTTTAACTGTCTTCTGTGCTAGTGCATTCCTTGTCTTTGCTTTCACTGAACCATAACATAAAAAGTAATTAGGGAAAGAGTCATACCACTAAAATTTTTTTAAAGAATAATTGCCTATGTGACTAAATTGACCCATAACTACTTCTTTAACTGTTACTAACAGTGTACCTTATTTGCTTCATATTTTTAAATGACTTATTACTCGTAGCAGACAATACAACTGAAAACAATCTCGATTATTTCCCTTTTTAAAAAAAGAAATGGAGAAATTGAAAATTTGGGCTTATTTAATGATTTGTCCACAGTTAGAGAGAATCTGTAGAGAAAAGCATATTAATATAGGAATTTGAAAGCTCTGCTTTGCTCTGGACCTAACTTGTGTGTAACCTTTGGTGAATCTTTTACTTTTCTAGGCCTCAGTACCTTTTTGTGTAAAATGGAATTGATAATACCTACCCTATCATCTGTTTCACAGGGCTGTTATGAGAGCAAAAGGGAGAAGAATTTAAAAGTACTTTGAAAGGTGTAAAGTTCTATACAAGTATAAGGTGGTATTTTTAGTTGGATATTACTGTCACTTGGGCACTTTGCCAAACAAAGCCCTTTCCTTTATCAATTTTTGAAAATTATGAGGGAAAAAATTTTTACTTTGTGAAGTAGAATTGGCTGAAAACTTTGCAAGCTTCTTATTTCCCATGAACCTAGTTTTCGAAGTTCACTAGACTCCCTTACCATGACTGGAAAAGGATGTAACTTTTTTAGTTTACTTTTTCCAAGGATGTCTATTCACCAGCTGTTTGATTACCTGTTTGGTGGAAATAACAGAAGAAGCTTACAGATTGTTGTAATACTATTAGATGATCTACATTAATACATATTTTGTAGAATTATTTTATAAAATGGCAACAAAGAACGAAGTCTTAATTAAGCTAATAAATCATTCTTTTCTACAAAGCTACAAGAAGACAACAAATTAATCTTTGTATTATTTTGACTGTCTGGACTTGTTCTAGATGGACATATGAAAGCAGTTTTGCTCAGATGAAGCTTTCTAGAGCGTTGAGAGAAGACCTTTTATATTCCCTTTCATATCATCAAAGGGGTTGCCTCCTTCTTAGCCTCTGCCATCATTTGTCTTTGATGTCTCACCTGTAATACTTACTACTTGGAAAAGTCGTTTAACCTCACTGAAGCTTCAGTTTCCTCATCTATAAAATGTTAGTATTGGACTAGTTGGCTTTTAAGATCCCTTCCAGCTCCAAATCTATGATTCTATATTCCTATGATTTATGAGCTACTTTTTGCCATTCCTTTCCAATGGGATGAAGGACCTATTTTAGCTTGTTACTCTTATCCCAGAAGCCCTGCCTTTTGAATAATGTACAGCCTGCTTCCTGGCCACTTCTTTCCCTGTTTTAGTGGCATGGGATTATTTCTAGTTCTACTTCTCCAACTTCAGCCTTCTCTTGACCTCCCTTCCAGAATTACATACTGGTTAACAACTTTGACTTCTGGTTTGCCCTTTTTCAATGAGGAGTGAGGGAGTTGGAGAGCCATAAAAAGGTAATTTATACTTTTTTTCAACTTATCTATATAAACATGATTAAGCATCTACTTGATGCCTAAACATGCCGCTGCATTTAAATATATATACATATATAAATAGTCCCTTCAACAAATAAATTAATAGTATAATCATAGAATCATAGATTTAGAACTAGGAAGGAACTTGGAGGCCATTTAAACCAAACCCTTTCATTTAACAGATGAGAATACTGAGATAGAGGGTAAATGATTTGCTCAATAAGTTATTGATTCAGTAAGTACTTATTATGTGTCTATTATGTGGCAAGCAAGAGGCAAAGTGGTGTGGTTGGAGAACATCTATATTCAAGTCTTACCTCTGACCCACACTGGCTCTATGACCCTGGGCAAGTTGTTTAACCTCTCAATGGCCCAGACAACTCTGAGACTTTAAATTAGGGGAGAGTTGCTGATCTATTGGTAGTGGTAGTTTTCTCATTAGGAACTTCTTACACTAATAAAATCACAAATTTGGCCAAAAAGATGTGCCAAGTGCTAGAAATAAAAAGAAAGAAGTGAAGTATTTCTTCCTTGAAAGAGCTTACACACTATCAGGGGAGACAGCATGAATCCAGATAAGTTAAAGCAATATATACAATGTAATTTCTGGCTGGGGTAGGGAGAGGGTGCTAGGTACTGGGAGAATCAGAATAGACCTTAGGTGGTCTATCCTCAAAGGTCTATTCTTGAAATTCTATCTATCCTTGAGATGAGCCTTGAAGATTCAGGAAGTAGGCCAGTTTGCCTAGAATGTGGAATTAGAGATGAGACGAATGTACAGTTAGCCTGGAAACGGAGACTAGAAGCAGATTGTGAATGAAAAATGGAATACAGTAGTTTGTATTTTAAACTAAAGTCAATTGGGAATCACTGGAACTTTTTAACTGAGTAGGTTAGACTTATGCCTTGGGAATATCACTGGCATGTGGAAAAAGGATTTCTACTATGTAGAAAAAGGATCAAAGGAAAGGACACCAATTAGGAAGTGACTGTAATAGTAGGGGATAGATTTGAAATATAGCAGAGATAGAATCCATACTTCACAATTAAGTGGGTTTGGGGGATCATGGGGAGTGAACAGTCAAAGATGACTCTGCAGTTTCAAACCTGGAGGTGGTATCTTGAACTGAAAGAGGAAAATTATGAAGAGGGAAGGGTTCTGAGGAAAAGATAGTGAGGTCTATTTTAGACGTACTATATTTAAGATATCCATGAGGCATGCTCTGTGAGATGTATCATATGTATTGGTGATGTGAGACTAAAGCTCAAAAGAAAGATTAGAGCTGGATATTTAAATCTGGGAATCATCTGCATAAAGATGATAGTTAAGTCAATGAGAGCTGATGAGATCACCCTAGAGAGAGAAGAGAAAAGGGCCCAGGAGACAACACAGGAATATATCCACACAGAAGGGGAAGGACTTGGATAATGATACAGCAAAGAAGACTGAGAGGAGGGAAAAGAACCAGGAGAGAACAATGATACGGAAAGGAAAGAATATCTAGGAGGAGGGGGTGATCAGCAGAGTCAAATGCCGCAGAAGTCAAGAAGCTCCCATGAAACAAGGAAATAATAGTTCACTACTTTTCTTTGTTTCTGATTTGTAAGGCACATTTGGAGACCGCTAGTAATTAATGCCTACATTTTAGCAACTGTAAAAGTGCATACTTTTTTTTTTCAAAAGTACATCTCCATTTGACAGCGTAAATTCATTTTTTGTTTTCTTTTATGTCCTTATTTGGGCTTGCTATTAAAATTTGTGATAACTACTCTGTAGATAGTTCTGACTGGTTATACTTCTGTTTAAGAACTACTTTTCAGTTCACTTTTTCCAGATGATAGTTCTTAGAATCCTATATAACATCCATTCTGGGCTCACTCCCCCAACTTACACTCTTAACTGGCAGGTTGGGTACCTAGAGGAAAAACTGCTGAGGCAGCTTCTAGAGGTAATCCTGTAGATGAATACTACTAACACTGTAGCTCCAGAGTGAACACTGGTGTTTTTCCCATTAACCATCAGGCAGTAGACTGAACTAGTTCTTAGGAAAGAGTCAAATGGCATAGCAAGAATTGTAGCCACAAATAAAGCCCCCCAAACCTGCGGCATCCTCTCCCACAAATACACACCAAATATATGGGAAGAGAGTGGGTACAGATTAAAATCCAATGGTAGTGAGGCATACTTGTAGGGAACACATGTGGCCAAACTATAACTACAAAACTGTGGTGTCTTGTTGATTTTTCTCCAGAGAATCCTCATGAAGTCCACTGAAGGACAAGGACGTCAGTATAAACTTTGGTTTTAGTCAAAGGGCCACAATTGAGGATCTAGAGGGCCACATGTGGCCTTGAGGCTGCAGGTTCCCCA